GATATGCTTATGCTACAAATAAATAAAAATAAATAAATAAAGGTGTTGTAATCTCTCCATTAAACTCATCTTCCCCTTGGAAATGAAGATTTTTTTCCCTGCATACTTGTGTGTGAAAGGTCCATATACTTTCTTCTGTTCCGCTGAACAGCATTATTAGAGGTTGATTGTGCATGTAGCTATATGCAAGATGCTCTTTATCTTTAGCTCCATGAGATATTAGGAAAGGCATTTCAGGCCTTATCTGATTGTGTGGCAATGCATACAAACAGGGTTACTCTGCAACTCAAGCTACATGATGAAAAGTGAATGCTTCTGCTTTAAAAATCTAGATTGGCAACGATGTCTTAGCATGAAGCCGTCTGGTGTAGCCAAGGCATAATTTTATTATCCTAGATGAAAGACAAATATGACCTCATTGTGTTGTATGAAAAACATTATTTTGATTCTGTCTGGTTCCTGCAAGCTTGCTGAGCTATGTTATTCAGTAATGTTTGGCATATGATAACTTATCTGAGACTGGTGCACAACAAGAAAGAAAATGAGGCCAGGTTGAGGCTGACATGTATTTCCATGGTTTTGTTCTTACTCTTTGAGCTTTTTGTCAGGCAGTTACAGTCCTTCCCTAGATGTTTTATATAAGCAAATACTGGCTGCAGCACTTATTCGCTTCCAGATGCACTTCAAAGATTGGGTTGTACTTAAATACCTGAATGATCTGAACTCTTGCCTCTGAGAAAGAGGCCTCTCTCTCTCTCTCTCTCTCTGATCCATTGCATGCGATGAAACCCATTATATCAGACATGTTGATCTCAGAGTGAACGCTCAGGAGCCCTAACAGAGCATTTGCAGAGGAGGTCATGTCTAGGAAGAAATACAGAGTTTACATATGGCTTCATCTTTAAAACTAGCTCCCCATTTGAACTGCTCAGGGAATGGCATTGTCTTCTTATAGGGGGTTTTGACATTTTCATGTTTATTTTTTATTTAAGATGGAGGTAAGCTCTTGACAAGACTTTGAAAAGTGGAATTCATTATGAAACAAAAGGGTCCAATTCAGAAAACCCAAAACAAAATACTTTGACATTCCCTAACAAAACTTTTTATCCTGGAATCATCTCAATTCAATATTTTCACATTTTGGGCTTCATTTTGTTGTAGGAAATAAAGACATCTGATTTTTCAGATTCAATGTTAGGATTGTCTAGCATTCCCCCCCCCCTTTTTCTCCTCTTTAAACAGCAAAAAAAAGAAACTTTTCCCCATCCCTTTCCAGTAGAAGTGAAGCCAAAAGATAAAATGTGAAATGAGATGGAAACACTCTTCTTCCATTGTTATTGTTTGCCAACAGGACAAAGTTGGCAAATGTTGACAAGGATTTAGACTGTTGGGGAAAAAAACCTTCTTTACTACACTTTCAATTTCTCAACTTTTCCAGGAAGAAAAAATAAAAAAGAGTGCAGAATGAATTCCCTATCCCATAACACACACACACATTTTTTGAAAAAAGAAAGAAGAAAGAAAAAATGCCAAATATCAAAATGAATGTGAAAAGCTGAACACTTTTGTTTCTAGAAATTGAAAACAAAAACTGTCAAATATAATTTGTTGTTTTAACAATGCCAAAACTGTTGAAATCCCTGTGCTCTTGCAAAGATTTGTGTTTTAAGTTATCCGTTTTTTTCCCAGCAGGTTTAGCTAATTCTAGTATTAATTCAGTGGTCGGAAAGGTCCCTTTTTAAATAATGCATTTAATGAGCGACAAAGTTAGTGGTGTGTTACAGCTCCCCAAATGGCTAGCTTTGTTTCAATAATGCACCATAAAGCACCCAGATGTTCTGTTAATGGGAACTAGATGTGTTTATAAATATTAAAAATGTATGAAATCAGCCAGACCAGCATTATGTGATCAGACATTCATTTTTCATTTTTAAAACCATCACTCCTAAAACTCAGTTCAAGAAAGGAATTTAGCACAAGATTACATTTAAGCCTGTGTTTAAGTCCCATTGGGTGCATCCATACATGCACTTTACTGTGCATTAAACTAATTTAATGCACAGTAAAACATCACCGTCTACAAGTGCACAGCAGTTACTGTGTAGTAGATTAATTTAAAACGCATTTTGCTAATACCAAGAGATGCAGGTTCTAGAAAACAGTGATTTAAACTAATGTGCCAAAGTGCATGCTTAGATGCTGACCAGGAGCTGCTGCAAATCGCTCCCAGTCAGCCCAGGTAGCTGGGGACCACAACTGCTGCCTGGCTAAGCCCTGAGCATTTGTGGGGGGAGAAAGGGGAGCTATCATATCATGGCACTTCCCAGCTGTCTGGGGGCAGCTCCAAGCCACGTGGAGCCTGGGGTTAGCTAACCCTGTGCTCTGCACGGCTCAGAGCTGCCTCCAGAACTAGGGACAGCTCCCCCCACCCCCCAGGAGCCCAAGCCTGACCCCCTGTGCCCCCTGCCAGCCTGGGCCTGCCCCCAGTGCCCCCTGCCAGATGAGGGCTGGCACCCAGGGGAGCCTGAAGCTCCCATGGCTGCTGCAGGGGGGCAGAGCAGGGCAGGAGCAACCCTGAACTAGGCTGCTTCTTTTGGGCTCAATTGGCTCCTGACCCCGGTGCAAATGTAGACATGCGCCCAGGAGCAGCTTAAGGCACCTGAATTTACTGTGCAGTAAATTTAGGCGCATTAATTAATTGCACATGCAGACACACCCATTGACTTTGGTAGAACCCAGAGCCTTTTCTCAATAGGGATGCTTTCCTAGGGCAGCCATAGTGAGAATAGTTTAATGCTAACACCTGGGTGAGGGACATGCAAGCAAGAATTCATTAATATTGCAATAAATTCAGGATCACTTTGGCATCTGATGCTTGCCATTATACTGAAAACTGTGTGCTCAAATGTTAACGGGCACATCAAGGATAGATGATCAGATCCTCCTGTTCCAAAAGCATCAGTGTCTACCCCTAGAGCTAATGGAGCAGCTACATTAACTATTAAATTAGGGACTTCAGTGCACATCTGGACAGTTCTGATTCCTTTCAAGGATGTGTAGTGGTACAGAGAGAGAAAGAGAAAGAGAGAGCAGGTTATTACAATGGTCACGAAATTATCAGTCTCATTAGACTTGAAACCTGTTTATTAGAAAATCATTTACAATGTTTTTCTTCCCTACTGGAGCAGAACACTTCTTATTTACACAGTTCACTTTAGGGGTAGCATTTAATGTTGAGCTTTCACATCTTAGGATCATGTTCTGTTTGGAAGATAAATACAAGGTTTTGTGTTCCTTGGAGTAGGCCATGTTGTGGGGGAATGAGTCCATGTCCAGCCATGGTGGGTTGGGAACGGCCTTGCATGGCTTAGAGAGATAATTACTTCCCCAGCCACAGTGCGAGGCATGGGTTTTCAACGGCTGAGTACTATGGGTGAAGAGTGCAAGTAGCTTAAAATGAAGGAAATATTAAGGACTGCCATTAGCAATATTTTTGGTGACCATAGAGGAGGAGGATAAGACTCACTGTTTGTTTGGCCCTTGTGCTTTCAGGTATGTTGGCTACTATATCTTGGAGGTCATTGGCAACACGTAGGGGGTGCACATGCACCCCCTGATATCGGCCGTGTACCCAGTGGAAGCACCAGCTGCGAAACTGGAAGTGCACTTCCTGGCTCAGCAATTGCCGGTGGGGGATCCCCCCAGCTGGCAATCGGACACTGGGGGACCCCCCTCTCTCCCATTGACAATAGACTGCTGGGGGACTCCCCCCCATTGGCAATCTGGTGCCCCCCCAGACTTGGGAGGCACCAGTCGTCCATGTTTGAGGTGACAGTTCCTTGACACTTGTCTCGTGAACTTGTTTGGTTGGGTAGGGAAGAGCACATATGTAAGTGGCTGGAGATCTGCTTGGGGAGCATGGAGCAGAAAGGCAGATAGTTAAGAGAGGAGAAAAAAAGGTTATAACTCACAGAAAACTCCTTGGCTTTGGAGGATGATTCAATACGGGACACACATCCTATGATATATTAAGGTGAAGTATTGAATATCCATAAAGGAGTACTAGCAAGTGGTGTCAATTTTCAAACACTTTGCTTTGTCAGCTTCACAAATTTAAAATCAATCATCAGACAGTCTCTGTATAGATCAGTTGAACAGACGTAAAACCCAACGGTTATCTCACTGGTGAAAATCTTAAAATTAAAAATGAATTTATAAAGACGTTGATTGGCAGACTTCCATAATACTGAAAAATGGGGTCCTGCAGCTGATCGGTGTGAAAAGAAATGCCGGAAGAGGTAACAGGGTAGCAGCTAATCCATCTGTCTTGGGGACAACGAAATAGCTTCTATGGAAATTTTCATTTGCAATAAGAGCTCCATATTCTTACTGAATTGTCACAAACACATGAAAACCCAGCTACAGTTGAAGAATTGCTGGGCAGCCTCTGGAGAGTGATCATAAATATCTAAGTTTTGTATAACAAAACCTAAATAAAAGGTTCATTTGGTGTTAAAACAAGCAGTCATCAAAATTATTTTTGAAGCCTTTGGTTCACTGTTAGTTGCCTAATATCCTTCATTTAGCCATAAATGATACATGTACCAAAAATGAAGATTTTGCATTTCTATTAGCAGATTATTAAAATATGACTGTTTCATATTTGCAGCTATCAGACCAATATGCCCAGGTTTGTGACACTGAACTATTTATTCCTCACGGGATGATGACGATGATATCGTTTCTATTAACTGCATCAGCAGTGTGTCCCACCATGCAGAAGCGTAAAGCATTCACAAACTGGAGGCAGATCCTCTAGTGCCATCTAAGCAAAATACCCATTTACAACTTTACTAAGTCAACCGTATGTGAATGGGAGTTTTGGGGAGTGCACGACCATGGGCACCAACATAGATTTTTGTCCCCCCTAGGTTAGAAGACTAAAATAGAAAAATAGGGACCCAATAAGCTAAGACAAATGGCTGTTTTCTGCCCGGCAGCGGGCTTCCTTTGCAGGCAGCGCACGGCGCGGGCTTGGCACATTCCAGCGGGGGCTCCGGGAGCTCCAGTGAATCCGAGAGCAGCTCCGAGTCGGACTCCGACAGCGAGAGCAGCTCCAGCGACAGCGAGTGTAACGAAGAGTCACGCAACGCGACTCCAGAGGTAAAGCTACAGACCCTTTTCCACATCCGTCCCAACATGCCCTTAGCTCATTGTCCCCGTAATTCACCGCCCCCTTCATTGTCATTGAAAGCACAATCTTTTTATCCTTCAGAGAAACATGCGAGTCTTGTTCAGTTTGCTGTTATTTACTGGCTTCCCCTCCTGTGCCATCAAATGTATGACCCACATACTCATTTTAGCTTTTGGGAAAACCTCCTGGCCTACATTTGAATTACTCTAGAGAAATATTTAGATTTTTGCCTAGTAGCAGGGAAGATTTTATTGACACAGTAGTCATCTGGGATGAGGGAAAAGCAGCACGACAAAAATGATATCTTTAGGGACCTGCTTAACTTTTTAGTTGTATTAAATTTCTCCAGGGCCACATTGTAAACCAGATAAGGAAGCCTAATTAACCATAAATAGTCCATAAATACTACAGTAAAACTAGCAGTAACCACTGGTTGACTGAAATAAAAGGCTGTGTTCAAAACGTAATTCTCATCTAAATTAGAAAGCATTGCTCCTCTAAGTTCGGTTCTCTTTTGTTCCCCGACCTGCAGCCTGAGCCCCCCTCCACAAACAAATGGCAGCTGGATAAATGGCTGAATAAAGTGAATCCCCATAACAAGGCCATCATCAACAACCAAAACGAGACTCATGGCGATAACAGTTCTCAGTCGCAAAGCAACCAACAGGCGGAAGGGCAAAACAAAGGGAAGCTTAATAGCCTGCCCCAGACTGATTCCAAAGACCGGGCGATCCTTAGTCCCATCCGGGAGAAAGCCAAACCACGAGTTGCCCAGAAAACCCCAGAGGCAAAAAGCTCCAAGCAGAAGTCACCAGCTCATAATGAGCCAATGTCACAAAGGACTACGGGGAAAAAGCAACCCAAAAAGGTAGAAAGGACTTCCAGTGTCGAAGAGTATAACTGGCCCAAACCAAATAATACCAGCACCACTCCCAAAGAAAAAGATACCCAGGAACCTGCAGAACAGCAGAAGGTTCGGACAAAAGCATCCGTCGGAAAGACAGCTCCCCGAAAAGAACCGCGAACCAGCGCCGGACTCACTTCCGAGAAGAAAAAGTATCGAGGCCCCAGCAAAATTGTCCCGAAATCTCGCGAATTTATTGAAACCGATTCCTCTACTTCTGATTCAAATACAGACCAGGAAGAGAGTTTGCAGGCTAAAATATTACCTGCTTGCAGTGGGCCTGCCAATGGCATCAAAGTGAAAGACTCCGGGAGTAACATCCTCAGTGTCAGCAGTTTAACTAGCAACGGCAGCAACACATCAATAGACCAGACGAGCAATGATTTAGAGGAGCAGCTGTTTTCACCTATCCCGATCGTGCAAAATGAACTTCTGTCCCCACTGAGGGAATATGAAGAGCTCAAATCCCTCTGGGTGAAAATAGACCTTAGCTTATTGTCTAGAATACCTGGACAAGAGCCCTTTGAGACCACGGCAGTGAAAACCGAACCGAGAGAGGCAAATGTGAAACACAGGCGACCATCTCGAGAATCCCCTACCCCGGCTGCAGTGGAAAAACCTTCTACGAAGTCCAAAAGGAAGCACAAGGTAAGCAATTTTCTAGTCCAAGGGACGATACCCTGTTTCTTTATGTTCGTTCAGAGGGTACCAACATCACTAGAGCTTCCCCAAGATGCCCTTCTTCAAACCTGCCCCAGGCATCTCAGCAGTGATCTAACAGAAAACTCAGTGCTATGGCGAGATGTCATATTACTCCGGTTTTATTGTTTTTACAAAAGATGCAACACTGCATTTACTAGCGTCTTATAAATTATCATCATAAACTATTTAAAGCCAACCTCTAGCTATCAAAATCAATCTGTGATATATCTTTGATGTTTTCCCATTGTAGCTGCTCGCTCGCCTATTAATTTGCAGAGTTCAATAATCTACGGTGGGCCTTCCAATACCGACTAGTGCAAATTGCTCGGGTTTGCCTGCATCCAGGAAATGCGGCTTCTGTTTGGATGGCAGGTTTTTATTGTCTGAAGAATTGGGGCCTATTCACCACTGGTTTAAATGAGAAGAGCCTCGTTAAAGTCAATGGAGTTGTACTTGCCTATGTTCCTGGTAAACATAGTCTGTAAAATATAGTGTTGTTCTGTAAGCAAATGGGGTTTATAGAAGTATCATTTGCTTAACTAGATGTTGTCTCTTTGCAACTCTCTGAGAAGCAGAATGTATATCAACTTAGGGGGACTATGTTTTATCATGTGTTTTATATTATTGATGCCCAAGGGTATCCTATCTTTTGGGATATGACAGTATGCATCAAACTAAATGTGTTTCCAGAAAAGAAACTGAGGATTTTTATCATAAATGAATATTTGCAGTGTTTTTTCCAGCTGAAATGGCTATTCCCTGGTCTCTCAGAAGGGAGACATCATTTCATATTTTATAGCCCAAATTTGATAAATCATTGCAAATGTGACTCCAACCATCATTTCTATTGGCCCCCCTGAACTGTATTAAAATGCTGATTCAGAGCAGTCTGAAGACAGAGGGAGAGAGCTAATACAAGACAAAGGTCTATAGCCCTTGCTCCTCTGAGCAGTCACACTGACTTCTGATTGAATTCAGTGGGAATAATCACCTGAGTAAGGTGAACAGTAACTCATACCGCTCATTTCTACTTTACGCCTGTCGTTTAAATTGACTCAGGAAAAAAGGTATGAATGATGCGTGTGGGTGCGCCTGCATGCAGGCATGCACACATACACATCCATGCGCATAGTTATGTTGAGGCTTATGGTAATCATTTCATTGGTAATTTCCTGGAGTTTAAGTTTCAGAGGAGGAGTCCTGGCTAAAAGAAGAATACAGTATTGGTAGCTAAACCTAGGGCTCTGGAAAGATAATGGGATATGTAAAAGAGAGACCTTCATCACCTCGTTAGCTGGGGCTTTGAATCAAGGACTGGCATAGTGAAAGGGAACTCACTCTCAGATGTTAGGGTACTGCACTAGAATAGAAATATTCAAATAGCCTTTTTTTTTTCCTTTCTTAGG